TGAAGTTCTCTACGGCCTACCACCCTCAGACTGACGGTCAAATTGAAGTAGTTAATCGTAGTCTTGGTAATTTGTTATGATTTTTGGTCTGGGAAAATCTTCGTAATTGGGACTTGATCCTTCTTATAGCCCAAATTGCTTATAATAGTTCCATAAATCGTTAATTAAGTATGAGTCCATTTGAAACTGTTCACGGGTACAAGCCTAGGAAATCGTTAGATCTCATCCCTATATCCCCACAGGCTAGATTGTCAGTGTTACCTGAAGCATTTGCACAACATATTCGTCATTTGCATGTTGAGATCAATAAACAACTTGAAACTAGTAATGCAAAATATAAACTCCAAGTGACTTGCATAAACGACATATTGAGTTTAACGTTGGAGATTACGTTATGGTCCGCATTAGGCCAGAGCGGCGTCTACATGGACCCGCTTCCAAATTGCAAGCTCGTAGTGCTGGTCCGTTTAAAATTTTAAAGCAGGTTGGTCCAAATGCATATGTTTTTGACATTCCACCACACCTTGGTTGCCACTCTACTTTCAATGTTGAGGACCCAGTCGCTTATAATGGCCATTTCATTTCCTCAGATGATCCTCTGTTATCTCCTTTTGTGGACCTTAAACCTGATTATTTGGCCACCTCTACCTCACTACCACCTCTCACAGCATACAAAGATAAAATCGATGCTATTTTAGATGAAGAAACTGTATTAACTAATGATGGAGAGGTTCAACGCTTCCTCGTTCGTTGGGTTGGTCGACCAGATTTCGATTGTACATGGATCTCTAGAGAGACACTACAACAATTAGATCCAGATTTATTGGAGTTTTATCGGAGTCAGTAGGATCTTCTTTGGCCCAGATCACCTCCCGTTCACCTAAGGGGAGTTGGTGAGGACACCAGGTTCAAACCTCCGCTGACACATTTCTACAGACGCTGGAAGAAGTTTGCCCAACCACTCAGTTTATGGTTGGGAGATTGACGACAGCCTATTGTGATATATCCACTCGACAGGGTTGAGTTTTCTCCCACCCTGAGAGAGTTGATGAGGACATCGGATATTTATTTATTTTATTTTCTAGTTAAGTTTTATTTATTTTCTTGGACTATTATTTAGAGAATTGGACTTGTATGGGCTCGAGCCCAATCTCGTTAGGGCTTGCTTTATTATTTAAACTTATTTTGTATTGTAATTTTTCAGTTAATGATTGAATAAAATTATTGGTGGCTTGTGGCGAAAGCTTTCTCTCTTCCCCCATTATTCTTCCCCTTCTATTGATTCTTCTTCTTCTTTCATCTCCTACCCCCCTGATTTTCTTTTTCCTATTAATTGTTCTTCTCGTTCTACATTTAATATTTCTATTGATGCTACATCACTGTGGCTCTAGAGAAATGGAGAATCAAAGCGTGTAAGGTCATGTTCGTTATAAAGATGATAATCGAAGAAAAATTTTTGTAGCACGTAAGGGATAAAACCACACTAAAGGAAGCATGGAACACTCTAGATGCACTATTCTTGAATAAAAATGATTTGAGGTTGTAATTTTTGAAAAATGAGCTATTTTCGATCATTGAAGGAGAATTAACGATTAGTCAATATTTTAATAAAGTGAAATCTCTCTTTGGTGAAATTTTTGAGTTAAATGCTACAAGTAAAATTTTGGAATGTAGAATAAGAAGAATAATTATACATGGACTGAGACCTGAATTTGGAGGTTTTATTGTTGCCATACAAGGTTGGCTAGAGCAACCGTCACTGGTGAATCTAAAAAATTTGATGATCGATCAAGAAGCGTTGATTAAACAAATGTTAGGAATCTTAATAAAGAAAGAAGAAGAAAAAGCATTATTTAGCTATAGAGGAAGAAATCAATTTCTTCAACCAAAAAAATAGAGAATTAAGAGAAGGTAAATCTGAAGGACGGATTGAAAGAAGTTATTAGACAATGGGAGCTCAACAAAATCGCGATAAAAGAGGCAATTCGTTTAAGGAATATCAATGAACTAATGGTTCATACTTCGGATGTAGAAAATGAGGTTATTATACTAGAGATTGTTAATTTAAAATGGAGCCAGTAGAATATGATATAGCAATCTTCAACAAAGAAGAGGAGTACAATAATGAAAAAGAATGTGATGCTAAGGTATCCACAACACAGGGATGGCAATGGGCCGGGCATTTTTCTCGCCTCGTTGCCTGTTTAAGTCGGAGTGTTTGCTCCGTTTACGTACCTGTTTAATTTAATTTAATTTAATTATTATTTTTTTGTTTAAGTTGTTGATAATTCATTTTATTGCCCCCCATTCAAGAAAGTGGAACAATAATATGGTAATTAAAATTTTTAATTAATTTATTTTTAAAAGTTAAATTATTCGAATATATTTGATAAACTAAGGTATTAATTATTTATCATATTCTTTGGATAATCTTAGTTGTCATATTCTATTAGTATTAATGAAATTTCGTGGAATTTTCCATTTAAAGTATTGAATTCTTAAAAAAATAATAATAATAAACGGGACAAGGTTCTTGTTATCCGTACCCGTCCATCCCCAACTCAATTACCCGATTAAGCGGGTGGGTAATCCTCACCCCATTTGGGGCGAGGCCTAGCGAGTATCGGATATGATGGGTTTTTTGCCATCCCTACCACAACAGTAATCGAGCAGGCTTGATAAAATAAGATCATTTCAAGTATAAAGGACAAATCAACGTTGGTGGTAGTCTTCCCTAAATAATTAGATTGCAAAGATGTTTGGATCAATGACTCGGTAGAGAATATTGTGTTTTACGAAGAGTCTTCTTCATGGACTACACAAAGCGGGAATTACCAGAATCATAAAAAGTATTTGAAAAAACATATTTTTGACAGGCATCATAAACGGTGGAGTTGTTCGATTCAACGAAAATGGATGACAAGTTGAAGGAGACGATGTCAGAGCAAATCAATAAACAAGAACATACAAAGGTAAATGAGAAATCTAAAAATTTACATCTGTAAGAGTTTATTTTGCACTCTTGATTGTGGGAACCAAGTAGTTAATATTTTATGATAGCCCTTTTAATCATTATATATGTTAGTTTGTACCATTGCATTCACGAGTAGAGCTATGATGATCCTAGCAGGTTAACACAAACGATTAGCATTAGGATAAGATGATCCAATGGGATATGCGCATAATGTTTTGTCGTCGTGCCTCACCGATAGTAAGCAGTGACCTTTTTGTTTCTTAAAATCGATCCTATTTTGTTTCAACATAGTTTCTTTCATGTTTGTAGCTTGTGCTAGCCTTGTTAATGTGAATGTAGATGAGACCCTAAATGAAAAGGTATTAACTAAGGGGAAAATGTTTAGAGAAAATTCACAAAAACAAAGTTAGACGATATCTTACTTCTTATTAATGCAAAGAAAAGCAAACTTAATCCTAAATATTTTATATGATGAGAAAACTCAAAACACCTTATAAACACCTTAAAAAACAAAAAAAAAACAAAAAAAAAAAAAAAAAAAACGAATTCAACAATATAATAAAAATCAACTGTGATTTCAGAAACGTTAGCAAAAACTCTCGAACCAATGGATAGAGGGAGATGTTTGCCTACGCCTCCATCGGCTTCTGTCATCTCAGGTCGAAATAATGTCCAAAGGTGCAAAACAAACTTCTCTTCCTTATTGAGTTAAACATCTATCACCTGTTATAACATTAACAATAAATTTTGACCTTTCAAAATTAAAATTACTTTTTATTTTCAGTTTTTATCTAGTTTAATTTTCAGTTTAAAAAAATAATAATTTAAAAGTCTTAATTTGGAGTATAACTTATATTTGAATGGATTAAATTGTGGGGGTTGAATTTTTTTAATGTTTGACCCACAAGTTGAAGAATATATATCATGCTATATTCATATAATTTTGACAACTCGATAAGACTCGTTCTTTATCTCTACGTGTCATGCACATAAATAAAAACTGGTTGTAAACCATAAAGATTTTGTCTTGGAGTCGTACAGTACCAAAAGAACCAATACGAAAAGGAGGTCACAAGGCTGGTGGTCCTCTCAAATCCCATTTTTTCATCAACGGGTAAGAATTTATCTGACCTTTGCGGCTCTGGGAACTTCACTTAAACCTTTAGCCACAACTAAAAGAAAGAAAATAAATGAAGTAGGAGTTGTGTTGTTTCTTCTTTGCTCTTAAGACTTCCCTCCAGTTTCATCAAGTGGTCATGTGGGCTTTGGCTCTTTAAGTGATGATAAGGACTCTTAACCTTTTCTTATCTTCTTTCCGCCCTAGGAATAGGAGTCGACAGCGTTTTTTGTCATTTACTTAAACAACCATTCTAATTCTCTCATTATGCTCTGTATCATTTAAATTTGATAATCTATACACAAATAACTCATTTTTCTCCAACATTATAAAATTGTGTTAGAAGATAGTGATGGTCTTTCAAAGTGCAGGAAATATATCTTATGTATTGATGCCCAAATTATTATGTCAAGAACCTTAAAAATACACAAAGTATTAACCAAAAAATATCACTATATATTACAGACTCTAATCAAGGATTTGACACAAGATTTCATCGAATCATGGGCTCAGAATACTCATTGTACCCTTCTATACCCCCAAAAATCCCACCATAAAAGGATCGAACGTGGTAGCTTCAACAAGACCGAATAGGAAACCCTAGATCGTATAACAACACTTTCTCTTCTCAAAAGGAATCACTCAGATTCACATTATTCACATAGAAAATATAGCCCCCAAATCACATAAGATCTCTCAAGGAACTCAAAGGAGACGAAGGAGAAAACAAACAGAAAAAAGGCTAGGGTTTTCTAGAGAGTTTTGGGGACGGTTCAAATGACAAAAGGGCTCAGTCAAAAGTCACACAAAAAACAAAAGGCGTGACATTTAATAACCATCCAACCATTGATCTGAGATGAGGGATCTAACGGTCTTGGAGCAACACACGTAATCCTCAGATTTGGGCTCGGGTTCTTGGGCTCACCAAGTGTGTTATCGGGCAATGGAGTGTAGCATCTTAAACAATTTGGGCCTGAACCCGTTTTCATCATAACCCAGTATTTGAGTTATAATTCCATAATTGGCATCACAACTCAAACACAAATGATGCAATTATTAATATTCTGGACATAGCATAAATTGTTTTGATGCTGTTGCTTATATAAGTAGGGTTGTGAAATTTTTCGATGAATATAAGAAAAAGTCTTTATTATTTCATGAGCAAGTTGCACGATGCTGCAAATTAGAAATAATTGGCAAGAAAATCTATGTATCAGAGGGACAACAATGAGATCCATCTTGTTTGGTCTTCAGTGATGAGCCTTTAATGATTATGTAAAATGAAAAGTCACAAAACTATGAAGTGGAAATTTGATTTATCTGAATTCTTTAATTATAAACCTAAAATTTGATGATTTATTTAATGCATGATTATGTAAAATGAAAAGCGAGAAAATTGCAAAGTGATGATATCGAGTTTCGGCTTAGCTTGATGGATACCTCAAAATGCTAATAATCGGCACCTCAAAAAGCTCTAGCAGTCCCTTAACGTTCAAGTCATTTTGACACTGCTATTACTTGAGTCTAGACAATTGTCAAATTCACCATAAGTTGCAAGTGGTATTTGCTCGAAAAAAATTATTTTAGGGTAATTAGCACAATACGTCCTCATCGTTTATATTTATTGCGAAAGTCGTATCCATGCTTCAAACTTTTTATATTCACCCGTATTTCATTTTCTTGCGAAGTTGGTTTTTTTTTTTTTTTTTCCATCTCATTCTGTCAACCTTTCTCTGTGCAAAAGATTATTATGGTCTATTTTCTTCATTGAAGCATTGTAAATTTACCCTCTTCTTAAGTAAACAAATAGAAAATGAAGAAATAATTACAACTATAATTTCAAGTTTTTTAAAAAGTGCAAATGAGTCTCACGTAAAATAATTTAAAATATACTATTAAAAGAAAAATATTTCATCTTCCCAATTTACCCTCCTACCCTACGCTTCTCTACCACCACCACCAAAATAATTAAAAAGAGAATTAAAAGTATAAAAAAATAAGAAATTAATTAGAAATAGAAAAAAATGATTCTTCTTTCCCATACATTCTCGCACCCTACTATCGATCACAACCACCACCCATTCTCACCATCCCGTCGTGACACAATCTAGAGATTTAACTATTTTTCAGTAATCAAATTTCGTGTTCAAATATCTTTCTATTTTCAGTAAACTTATAAGTGTTTTTTAGGGATTTAAATATTTTCAACACATTCTTATTTCAATTTTCTTGTTGCTAATTACATACACACATATAAATATGTACCCACTGCATCAACTTTTGAATTTTTCTCTGATTTTGTTCAAGTTTCTTCTATTGAGAAAAATGATGTCTGAAGATCCATTAGAGGGTTCATTCAAGATCTTAATTCAAGCTCCAGCCATAACTATTCTAATTCAAAGCCATCTAAGAGGAAAATAAATCTTTTTAATTTTAGGAAGATGAATTTTTTTTTTTTGTTAATATGTTTTAAATTACTTTAAGTATGACTCGTTTGCACCATTTGAAAAATTTAGGACTTTGAAGTTTATTTATTTTTTAAAGTTAATTTCTGGTTTTGTGTATTAATGTGGTGCGGCTAGCATCCGACCCTCCTCCCATCGAGCTCACTCTACTACTCGGAGGTTGTGTTCTCCGCCAACGCCACCGCCAACGCCAACGCCAACGCCAACGCCAACGCCAACATGGCCACTTCTGCCTGTAGCCTCAACAGTTACTGCTCTTTATATAATCGTAGCAATATTACTCACAGGTCCTTGTTCCGAATTACCAGTAATAAACATATGACTGTCAATGCCCCCTTCTCCTTCACCCATTCTTTTTCATCAATATCTCCGTCCCCCGCTCGTGCAATTGTAGCCAAAGCAGCTTCAAGCAGTAAAAACAGTAGAGACGCTAAAAAGGAACAAGTAGTGGAGGAGGAGGAGGAAGAGGAAGTAGAGGAGGAATTGCCCTGGATACAAGAGAAGGCTTTGGATTTGGTCGAGTTCACGGGCTCCGTCACGCAGGCCATTCCAGGCCCACGCGTTGGCCGGAGCTCCCTTCCGTGGATTATTGCTGTTCCTTTGGCCTATCTTGGCATCACTTTTGCCATTGCTGTTGTTAAGACCGTTCGGAAGTTCAATTCCCCCATGGAGAAGCGTCGCAAATTGGTCTGTCTGCCTATTCTTCTCCCCATTTGATATTGTTTCTCAGTTTTTAATACATTTTGTAAGTTCAATTTTGGCTAGGGAATTACAATCAAAATCTCACTGATAATAAAATTGGAGGTAAAAAAAATAAAAAAAAATAAGATTTTGTGAACACACCTTATAGGACTTCCATGAGACTATTGATGTTATACGGGATAAATGTTGGACTTCTGAGAAACAATATCTACATAATGTGATTGTAATTTAGTCGAGAATGCTAAGATTGTTTTGCAGTAAAAGGAAAAGAGATAGGATAAGACATAGGCACACTTATGAATTGGCTAAGGTGTACACCCTTGAAAATAACTTGTGAGGGAATTTTATGATGTTTGGGACGTATTCTCATAACCTCTAGGAACTCTAGTAGTCCATAGTGAGTCCGTACCCCAACAAGAAAAAAATATTTTCATATAATTCTTACTTTATGTTGCTGATTTCTTGCTCCATTAGTTTTAGCCCTAAGTATGTAGAGTACTTCCATTTTTCTATTCGGGAATGTTGTAGATTCCTATTCAGCTCCTTGCCAAAGTATGTTCAAGGAAGTTTCTTTGGCATTTGTTTTAATAAAGTTTCAGTATGAATTATAAACCATTTGGAAACTCCCTGAGATTATTTGATATAACTGGCTGAGCAATGGAGGTAATTTTTCAGGTCAACACAAATGCATTTCTATGCAAATCCATGGATGAGATGTTCCAGAAAGGAAGAGATGCATTAGATCAATCGGCTTTGAATGGGCTGATGCAGAAGGTGAGATGCTGATAAGTAATTGGCATGCTTTCTTGCTGATCGTGCTGGACTATTTCTCAATGGTCTTTTGTTCTTGATATTAAGTTCAATGCTATTTTACTTCATATTTGCACAAAGCCTTTTGAGTTGTTTATCTTGGTGACTTGCAGTTGCTTGTATTTCTATATCTCTATACAATCTAGTTATAAGCATGAGAAGTATCTCGCTCCAAAATCACGTGCAGCAATTCAATAACAACAGGAGAGAGACTTTATTTGTCTTGTTAGGAAACTCTCATGTTTTTAGGTCTTAGAAGTTAATATTTCATGTAACATCTCACTTCATGGAATCTATACAGTTTCTTTTGATTGGAGTTGATATTTTTCTTATAGCCGGTAAGGTTTCGTAGCATATTTGTTATGTAACTCCATAATTAAGTTTCTTGGGAGACCGCTTAAAAGATAAGAACTGTTGCCTTGCTCATTTTAACTATGGAGAATATGTTTGGCTAAGCTTAAAAGGTGCTTAAAAGTATCTTTTGAAAGTCTCTGCCTACGCTATTTGTAAAAAAACCATAAGTGTCTTTAAGTGACTTTTAAGCTTGGTCATACATGCTCAAAGAGCAGGACAAATAGCAAATCTAAAAGCAAAAGGGGGAAATTTTTTCCTTTTTCTTGGAAGTTGTCTTACAGTTGATCATAATATTAACACATTTTGCATGTAAGAACTTGCATTGAACTGTCAGATTTGTACCTTTCAACAAGCCCTTGAGGGAATTAGTAAACCACTTGTATTTGTCCGACTTTATCCACCAATTCGAGTTCTCTCAAAGCCACTGAGGTGAGTACCAAATCGTAAATTTCAGGGCCCCGTGGTATTAATTGAAGTGCGCGTAAGTTGGCTCAGACATCCATGATCATTAAAAAAATAAAATAAAAAATGAGAATCAAGTATTCAATGGCTTTAGGATCATTTGTTTTGAGAGATCTATTAGCTGGAAGTGGTTGGTTGATTAAGATCAAGATGGCGATACTAAAAAATCATGGGTGAAGATGAAAGATTAATAAAGTAGAAAGTTATGGATTATTCCTAGATGCTGCATATTCAATGGCTACTGTTTATTTCTTGGTTGGATGGTGGTGGGAAGAATGGTTGGTTTAGGGTTATGGGGTTGGTTGAGGATTTCTGTTTGAGAGATCATAATACTGCCTAGGTGGATGACCTAAGCATAATATCTTAACGTTAACCTATACCCCGTGTTTCTCGTCCTTTACATAAGATTCTCAGCTTTTGGTACATTTAACAGTTAATATTCTGAAACACCCTACTCATTGATTTCCAAAGCGTAGAGTATGCTTCTGCCACTGGACTCGTGACTTTTTGTTGTCCAACACAAGAAGCTGCTTGATTGACAACATTCTTACATTTTCCAGACTGGTTTTGACATGGAGGAGATTTTACGCAAGTACATAAGATATATGTTGAATGAGAAGCCATTTAATCCAGATTGTGTATCAAATTTGATTCATCTTAGGAAAGTATCAATGTTGGATGATTCTCAAGTCGCTAGCATTCTGAATGAAATTTCAAGAAGGATCGTTAAAGACAAAGGTAACAGCAGCATCAGTTTATTTTCTTTGTGTTGCAAATGTCACTTGTTCAACTGCGTGGATACTCATTTGTGTATCATATTCTACAATTGACTAAATGCCAGTGAACTTGCAAACAAATTAGTGGAATGCCTGATTGCCTGTAGTGCTCAAGGCAATTTGCTAGTTCTAGGGTTATTATATATCTTGTAAAAAGCTGCTGCTGGTGCCTTCCCTTCATATGTTGAAGCTGTTAGCACCTTCTTTTGGAGCCTTGAGGATGTGGTGGAGGGTGGTTTTGTCTATTGTTGAGCACTTGACAAGGACTTTGTAAATTTAATAGTGGATATATAGAACCTGCATGTTTTTTAATTGGAAAAATGAAAACCTGCAAGTTGAGGCTACATCTTTATATTCTGATGGAGAATGTGCATGCATTTCAGGTCCTGTGGTCATGGATATGACAGGATATTCTGAAAAGGGTTTCAAAAGAAAACTTGCCGTGCAAGCTCTTTTTGGAAAGGTTTACTATCTGTCTGAGGTGAGCCACTGCACTGTCTTTGTCCTGACATTATCTCAACTACTTTGTTGTTCTGAGGGTTAATAATCCAAATGGTCATTGAACTTTGCAAAAAAAATTTCACGGGGTCACTTAACTTTAAAGATCACCTAAGTCATCACTGCATTTTGTAAAAGGTTTACACGGGATTACTGAATTTTAAAAATTACTCCATTGATCACTGAACTTTGACAAAGATTTACACGAGATCATTGAACTTTGCAAAATGTTTTCTAGGGGATCACTAATTTAGTGATGGAAATTTTTTACAAGGTTTAGTGATGAACGGAATGATTTTTAAAGTTCAGTGACCGCGTGGAAATCTTTTGCAAAGTTCAATGATCCCGTGAAAACCTTTTGCAAAGTTCAGTGATGATTTGGGTGATTTTTAAAGTTTAGTGATCTCGTGAAAACTTTTTGCAAAGTTCAGTGACCATTTGGGCTATTAACTCGTTCTGAGGTACTTTAGATTGTAACTAATTATTCAGTGTTTTTGACAATTATTTCACTAAGTTTTTTATCCATGCTCTCAAGTTTTGAATTTGTGAAGTCTCAATAAGTTCTGAGTGAGTAGAAGTATTTTCTTAACAGATATAGTTCATGTGCCTTGTACTGCTGCTGGATTGGGATAAATAATAAGACTAGTTGAAGTTTTGATTTATTAATATCAAGGGCCCCTTTATTGAAAATCTAATGTAGGTATTGTTTGAGCCACATTATTTTCATAAGAATGGATTTTTGAATAGTGTATTGATGAGAAATGTGTGGTTAAAAAATAAGAAAAAGTTTTGGATTTGTCTGTAATATTATTTTATTGAAGAATGTGTGGTTGAAATAATGACAAATCACTGTAAGAACGTGGGTCAAACAAGGCCGTAATCTTTATTGAAGTTATGTTAATAAGTACATCAAAACTCCCATGCTTTAAGAGTTTAACGAGTCTGATGACCTTCAAAAGGTTCCATGTGTCTACCTGTAGAATCTGAATCATCTTGTCTAATGGATGAACTGACAAAAATACATCTTTAGTATATCCAGCTACAATGATTCAACTGGTATTTAAGCTGAGACATGCTTAGCTGATTTTTTCCAAGCCCGAAGCAGGCTCTATAAGGTTTGATGTTGTAGCCTCCCATGCATTCAAAGCTCTTCTATCTATTAGTTTGTCTCCAGTTTCATTTGTAAATATACGCAATTGAGGAAATTGCAGCTCGGTCATCCAGTTTCTGGAATTATTTATTTCCTACTCGAGGGGACAGTGCATGTTCGGCAAAGCTTAAATTAAATTTTAAGCCCCGTTTGATCTCCATTAAATTAAATTACATTACATTCCATTTTTCTCTCTCCTATTTTCAACCACACAATCTTCCATAAAATAATATTACACATAAATCGAAAATTTTTCCTTCTTTTTCAACCACTCATTTTTCTAAAAAATACTATTCCCCACAATTTTATTTTCAGGTAATGGGGCTCAAATAGGGGCTTAATCTAGTCAAACATATCTTTTATCCACACATGGTAGGATCCACAATATTACCCACTTATTAACCACTCATTCCTTAGGATCCATAACTTATAAGCACTACCAAACAAGCTAAAGGACACCGTTTAGTTTGGTTTGACATTAGACTTGCAAACCCAATAAAGTTTTAAAAAAATATTTCATATTCCTGAAAGTCTGAAATATCAGTTACCTAGTATTTTGATTTTTTGTTTCAGGGTTGGGTTAATTGCTGAGTTCTGTTAGGAATCTAACTGTAAATAGAAAGTATATCTATAAGAATCAAGAGCCAGCAGTATATTGATGTAATTAAAAGAGAATACAGCAATGAAAGAAGTAATAAATAGCCTTTTGAGAGGGCTACTAGTCTCCTATTCCATACTTCTACTCACTAATTTTGCCTGCCTCAGTCCTTCCTGCTCCCTCTATATTATAGACCTCCTGTAACTAATCTGTCCACATCAGCCCGCCATGTTAACGGAATCTTGTTGCTGCCAACTCCTCCTCAATTCTTCCTGGTCCTTCTAGAATCAGTGTAGTTGATTCGAGGCTTATCAGTGTCTTTTCCATTATGTAGATGAATGAGACTTGCCACAAGAAAAAAAAACACAGTTTCCTTTTGATGTAGATAAGAAAATGTATATAAACTTAAAGTGAGTTCAGTTAATCTTTAGTGGCCAAGTTAGATTTCAAAAGAGGGCTCGTTTAGGATGATGATTCTAGCCTAATAGCTTGTTGTTTGTACTAGTGACCGTGAGTTGATAATAATGTCTCATAACATTATACTGGTCTGGTCTGAAGTTACCCTTCAGTGCATGATTACTTAGTAGTGCTAGACTAGTGCACTGTACAATGGACAAGATTTTAAAATTCTTTTTCTATCTTAATACGGTTGAGTATCGTATGATCCACTTTACCTAACATGCCGATTGTACCTACCCCAGTCATGTTTAACTATTCATTACTGGCTACTCTTGAGATTTTCCAATATCTTGGTTCTGTTAGTTGAACATTTTACCTTATTGTGTACCAGCTACCCGAGTTCTGTTCAAGGGATAGCTCTTTAACTGTCAAAGAAATTTTTGGAGTAGCAGAGTAAGCACCTTCATTTTCATTCTCTTAAATCTTCTCGACTTTCGTTTGCATGACTTCCAATTTATTGACATTCGGCTTGGTCATTTTAATCTCTTTCAGTGAAGATGCTGAAAAGCTGAGGCTACACACTGTCTCAGAAGCCGGGGATATGGAGTCACTGGAGAAGATGGTTGATGGTTCGGATTCGGAGGAGTCGACTGTTGGCTAATCCAATAGTTCTTAGAAGCTTAGGCAACACACCAAATTTTGTAGGTTGGAGAATGCATCAGTAACAGTTGAAAAGCAGCACATAATTTGTCATTTTTGCTGTTTTATAGCAGGCTGCACTTGGGAGGTTTATGTGACGATTTATTCAATTTTATCCCTTCAAAGTTTTGCTGCATAAAATTTTATTGACCTACTTCTCTGTGAGCTTAGACAGTATTTAGGGTCGCTAAAGCTTTAATAAAATGGCGCGTCTCAATTTTTTACTATTTTTTTATCCACATATTTCAAGATATTCATAAGTATTATTCGTTTATTCATCGCAATTTTTTTTTTTTATCTATTTATAATTTAAATTGTTTATAAACATCTCTCATACATGCTAGCTTGAGGACTGTTTAATGAATACTTAAACCTGACAAAAATATATATGAAAAAATAATTACAGAAATATCATTCATAGATACTTAGATAGTACTTGATGACGTTTGTGATTTAGATGAAATTACCATCAGCAGTATCAATATCGATCATTGACGCACTTTCAACAATGATCATTGACGATAATATTTTTCGCAATATTTTCTGCAATGTCTTTCAATTGTTGGTGTCGATGAAGAAATATTTAATCTTACTTAACATATGCCACTTTTGCAGGGATTAAAACTTGTCATATGTATGAGGTTCGAAATTAAAATTTTAAATTGATTAGGAGTTTAAAATAAAACAGCATGAGAATTCGAATATTTGGGTATTAAAATTGAGAGGCTTGATTTGGGGTTGACAGGTCGAGACTAATTAGAAAGGCTCTTATTTTTTAGAAAAGAAAGTGCTATGCACGTGAATGTAAATACACAAGTAAAACAAAAATTCTAATGTTCCTTCAAACCATCGAGTAATCCTACAAGAAATAATGCTGCCTGTCTTGTAATCTCATTTATACTGTGATGTCTTGTAATCTCATTTATACTGTGATGATTATGTAAGTACATACAGTTGTGCTATTTGCATAGTCCCATTTGCACAGGATCTGTACAGATGTACACACATGGAAGTGGACCCCACACATGGAATCCACCCGCCATGTGAGAGCGGGTACAAACTCTGTGCAAAGGGGTCTGTGCAAGGAGCTTTATTCAAGTACATATCATAGAAACTTGATTACAATGATGGTAGCGTTAATTTTAAATTTTTATTGTCAACCTTTAATGTCCTTCATCTACATCTAACTTAGTCAGCTCAATTAGCGGATATCATCCATAATAAAATGCCATTCTTGAAAGAAAATGCCTTACATTAGGTCAAAAAACTAAAATTGCCCATTTTAATTATAGTCCCATTTTCTAGCACTAATTAATGGTAAAAACTTTGTGACAAATGTGAAACTAAAGGCTAGCTGTTATTCGTACCAAAATTTGATGATTGTCATGTTGAATATTGAATTATCATTATATAACCTTAGGCCATCTTCAATTCTGAACCAAATTTTGCATCAAATCTTACACCAAACAAAAATTCATCTCCAATCATTACACCAAAAATTACACCACATGAACAGTGTTCAACCATTTTCTTCCCTTTTTTTATTCTTTATAATTTATTTATTTGAAATAATATTTATTTAATTATTTTATAAATACATAAATTACTAATAAATAATTACGTTAAATTATGAAAAAGATTAAATTCATTAATAAATATAAAAAATATAGAACAATTAATAAAAACACTACAACAATGAAAATGTGAAATCACGCCATCAGAAAATATTAAAATGCATTTCGAATTTGGATAGACGATATTACGAAGTCGCAAAATTTTTACAATTTAATTCTCGGAATTCATATGTTCATCCCACAAATGATCGATTAATGCATTTCGAAGTGCAATGTGAGTTTCTTTTATCCTTGATTTGTCTATGACGAGCAAGGAATTCCTGAAAATATCGATTTTCATCTTCAACCAACTCAACTTCTGGACTTGACGCTTCCGTCCATTCTTGAACTGGTGCATCAACAGTACGTTCGTCCTTGATAATCATGTTATACATTATTATGCATGTAGTCATGATATCTTGTAATACTTATTTTTTCCAAAACCTTGCGGGTCCTTTCATTATTGCAAACTTCGATTTTAGAACACCAAATGCATGTTCAACGTCTTTTCTACACGCTTCTTCTTTCGTGGCAAATAAATTTTTTTAGGACCACACGGCTCATAAATTGTTTGCACAATAGTAAATCATTTTGGATATATATTATTAGCTAGATAGTAATCTACGTTATATTGTCTTTCTTGAATGACGTATTGAGCTGGAAGAGCAATACCTTGAGTGAGGTTTGCGAAAAGATGAGATCTCTCCAAAACGTTAATATCGTTGTTTGAACCAGGAAGTCTAAAATATGCATGCCATATCCAAAGATCATAATCAGCTACATCTTCGAGGATAGTAGTTGGGAATTCATTACGACCTGCATATTGTCCTGCCCATGCGGTTGGACAAATTTTTCATTTCCAATGCATACAATCTAGGTTGCCCAACATTCTGGAAAAACCACGTTGTTTATTAACATGGAGTAGTCTCTCAATGTCATTCGCAGATTACTGAACTATGCACTTTTTTATGTATCCTTTTTTAAAAAATAAAATAAAATTATCATATGTCTTTTTAAAAATATTTCGTGTTAATTTTAATAAATAATCGTGTTTATTGTATTTTAAATTGTTTTCGTCTTTTAATTAATTAATTAATTATTATGTCTTACATTTAAAATTTATTTTAAATGAAAATAATAATAATAATATTTATACTAATAAAAATAAAAATAATTTATTATATTAAAAAATATATAACACAAATGGCATAAATACCCTTAACAATTTTATTTGGAAAATATTAAATAATGGCAAAAGAGATATTTTACATTTTACACGAAAAATGGTGCAAAATTTAGTGTTGCATTGGAGGAACTTTGAATCAAAAAATGGTGCAATGATGCAATGTGCCCTTAGTAACTAAAACGGGTGAAGGAAAAAAAAATTAACCAAATTGAAATTTGACTGCTCGATATAACTGACGAGTGATGACTTGGAATTTTGGACATGGTGATGTTAAGCAGGCAGCGCCAGCCAACACTACACGACCCAAATAGGGGCGGAGTTTCCAATGCAATTAGGCTGATACAAATATTGATTAAACTTCCAAACGAACACAGAATTTGATGAATTCCTCTTCTAGTATTCATTCTTTTTGATCCATCATCATATCATAAAATGATTCACCAATGTATTTCCAAGCTTCCATTCTCTCCTTCCCCATCTTTGCCCACCAGTAGATCCAATTCCACAATCCGCTGTGAATCGCCCGCCACCAGCAACGAAATGGTTGTGAAAAGGGACCCACCTTACCCGGATGGGGTGGGCTTGCATACGGGCAGAGACCCGAATGTCAAGAAGCCTGGGTGGCTGAGGCAGAGGGCACCACAGGGGGAGAAGTACGAGGAGGTGAAGGAATCCCTGTCCAGGCTCAAACTCAACACTGTGTGTGAAGAAGCGCAGTGTCCAAACATCGGGGAGTGCTGGAATGGCGGTGGAGACGGGATTGCTACAGCAACGATTATGCTGCTCGGGGACACTTGTACACGGGGATGTCGATTTTGTGCTGTCAAGACGAGTAGGAACCCGGCGCCTCCCGATCCTATGGAGCCTTACAACACTGCCAAGGCAATTGCAAGTTGGGGGTATATAGTTTTAATTCGCTTGCTACTGAATTTTTAATGGACTAGTTCTCTTGACTTTCTTCTTTTACTCGCAAGGTAAATAGTTAGTTAGTTAGGCCAATATCACATTAAAGACTTGAAATTTATCTTAATTTGGTTGTAGTATTATACTGTTAAGTTGAAATATACAAGAACAGGAACAAAGATGAGAAGTAGGGCGAGTGAGATATCTTGAATTTAAAAGGAAGTATGATGGACATACCTCCAATCTTTGAAGGTGCATTTTCGATGATTTGTACAACCGCCAGTGAGATGCTCGGAACTACTTTACAGTTGTCCAACTCTTCAGGAATCCTATATTCAATCCAGAAAGGAATAATAACTGAAGTTATACTTATTATGAATATTGAGATATAAAATAACTGTATCTATGTTTATCTTGCAAAAAAGGGGGGGAAATTATTGGAGCATCTCTATTTGACACGGTATACAGGTTTCAAGGTTGGTGTATCATCATATTTTTTAATAGGAGATCCTACAATTTTCCCTCAGTTGTAAAATATTGGTGCATGGTGTATAGAGCATATCTGCATGCCAAACCACAATAAACCAGTTACATATCTTTGTTCCTGCATACTGAAAGCTTTAACACAGGGTTGTGAATTTGTCATCCAGATCTCTTCTTGAGGATTGATTAGTGAAAATTTTAGAGTAGAACAATTACAAATTCTTCCTTTCTTACTATGAGAAGCTAAGGTGGATTGAAATCATTTAAAAATTTCTTTTTACCAAAATGTGTCCTTTTGAAAGCTTATAACTTTTTGCACCTTCTTACTGGTCTTTGATTATTAATGTCTCTGGTTTTTTTCCTTACAATTTAAGAATGCATCTAGATGCCCCTTCTGCTGTTACCTAATTTTTTATTTGTTAAAATTACTATAAAGGAGATAGCATAAGGTTCCGAAGTCGAGTCTTTGTTTATGCAAATTTCTTAACCAATACGTTTGTACAACTAATCTGAAAAAAACACTATTTTCTAATGTTGAATTCAGCAATCTAAAGTTACAAGGGAAATCACATTGTTGGTGAGTTAGGTTACAGTTTGTACATTGGATTGGCATTTCTGGTAGGATCATGTCTAAAGACATTAGTGTGTTCTTTGGTTTCTCCAGCTATGTCAATTCAATTGTTCAATCGGACAGTTCTGCAACTACTACAAATAGCATAGTTCCAGAAATGATTTCAACTGAATCTTAAGCCTTGAATCATTTTTCTTCTGTATTGATGATATCAAATTCTTGAACCAGTGCACTGTGGTCTGGCTATGTGTAATATGTTGTTTGTACAAGTTGACTGGAAATGTATATGGGCAGAATTTTTGTGAAACGCCAGTTTACTTATAGCCTAACTCTCACAATAAGGCTTTTGCATATTTATACTTTACCAACATCTATAAATTCTCCTCAAAAAAAAAAAAATTTGTGCATGACATCTTTGTAATTGAATTTAATTCTAATTTTAGTTTAAAAAATCCATTCCAAAAGGTAAAAATCGGGGGGCATTTTTGTTTTAGAGAATAATTACCAAACTTGAGTAGTTTCGCAACATGACATTAAAACTGACTACTTAACTAAGCTAGTGTTTTTCTTTAGAAACATGTATGTTCCACATAAGTAGACAGATTAATTAGATGTTTTGTTAAATATTTGAATATTATCTTAACTTTCTTTGCTTTCTTTTTAAAATGATTACTTTGAATCCTCTGTTTAGTCTTTTGATGGGGCATAACAGAATAATATCACCACTTTTTCTCATCAAAGCCTACAACGGCCAAAAACTCTTCCACTACAGAGACTAGAGAGTTTTTACTTCTCTCTGTCAACTCTTCTTTGAACTACGCTTGATATTCACGTGAGCCATTGGATTAGGTCATTAGCTCACAAGTCACATTACTTCAACTGTTTGACTTTAGATGTGTGTAGAGACTGAATACAGCATTGATTTTCATGTTGCAGTGTGGATTATATTGTTCTAACCAGTGTTGACCGCGATGATTTACCAGATGGTGGCAGTAGCCATTTCGCTGAAACGGTCAAAGCCATTTTTTTGAATTTTTGTAATTCAAAATCTATTTGATGCAGTAGTCTCTTCAGTTGAAAATGGTTAGGTACTGACCTGCCATTTCCCTTTGAGTCAGTGTAGAATTACGTCATCAGGCAAATTATTTACTTCTATGCTGAAAGCTAAATACGTTTCAGTTAAAATCTTGGGTTCAGTTTCATTGTTATAAACATCCACATTTTGTCAGTGCTACTATGCTAAGCTAATTGATTGCATGATACAGGTATGAACAAAGTTTATCTGTTCTGAAACATGCAAAGCTCAGCAAGCAAGGGATGATAACAAAATCATCTATTATGTTGGGACTAGGTGAAACTGATGATGAGCTGAAGAAAGCCATGGCTGATTTGAGGGCCAGAGATGTTGACATTTTGACGCTTGGACAATATTTACAGGTGAGTTGACATGCAGATGGCTTAAATAGCTTGGCTCTCAGGGATAAATAAATCTGGCCTTTGGAACTTTTGCAAGTTACCATTGACAACGATTGTTGCTTTATGCAAGAACCATATGAATTTAGTTGGCCTTGCCAATACTTCTTTTTCTTGTATATTTGATAAGTTAATAACTAGTATTGTTACTACTTGGTCTTACAAATCTCATTTGACATTCCGGAATAGCTAGAGTCGAATTCGTGGTGCTGTGTAAATATATTCTTGATTATTAACCCAAAAGGGAAATATAGCATTCTTCGCTTTTCCTTAGGGATTCCTTAGCTATGGTTCTTAAAATATTAATTTTGTTTATTAGGCCACACAGACTGTGGCTTTATTCCATTTGAAGCATATTTTCAAAACTATAATAATTACTGCCTTTCCTTGTCTGCAGCCAACTCCATTGCATCTTACTGTCAAAGAGTATGTCACACCTGAAAAATTTGCCTTCTGGAAAGATTATGGAGAGTCAATCGGTTTCCGTTATGTTGCAAGCGGACCCATGGTAAACATCTTTGCCTTATTGCCCTCAAATATTTAGAAATCTAATTCTATTTCTTATCAAAGGTGCAGACATTTTGCTTGTCCTAGTGAACGAATTAAACAAATTTAGCTGATTTAACTAAATATTACTCTCTTTCTCTCTCACCCGAATTGAAACATGGACTTTGGTTTCTGGTTTGTCTTTTATATGTATGATTGCATTTGAATCTCTCCGTTGGACAAATTTTTACTGCCCTTCATCCACTCTGTTGTTAAGGAGTAGGCCCTTGGATGCTTCTATATGTCTCAATCTACTTCAGCACATTCAAACATTAAACCATAAATTTCCAGAAACCTTGGAAAAGGTTTTCTTACATGATTTAAAATTGTTATAACATTCCTTACGGTAGCTCTGAGACTAAGCTTAAGTTATATTAGTCACACATCTTGTAAGTTGCTTGATAACACTTGAGCTCTTGTCGATAAACTTTTGATACTTAATCAAATCGACTGCATTGTTATTACTTCCTCAAACGTTTTCATATACACTTTGAGCGGCTGAAGAAAAGGATTCTTAAAGAAAAGAGTTCTGAATTCAATTAATCAATAGCCTTCCAGACTGAAATCACTAAACTGATTTCAGCATTGCTTGTGTACTTACATGGTTCATATAAATTAAGAGCGCTCTTCATTTTTGTCATAATTAGTGGATTACATATTCATCTCCCTCTGGCTCTATAGTAAATTCTTTTGGATTTTGGCTTCTCCAGGTTCGATCCTCGTATAGGGCTGGGGAACTTTTTGTCAAGACCATGGTGAAAGAGATGTCCAAGAACGCATCTAATGTATCTGCATAACTCTTAAAAAGAGGAAATCCCTGCCTAAGCCTGAAACTAAATGTAAGAAAGTATCTTAGTCTCCAGCCCGTCCTTCGCTTCTTCCCTCCTATTCTTCCTTTCTGGCTCTTTAGACAAAAGTTTCTGAACCATCTGCTCAAGTACTCATGAATTCTCTTGGCAAAATCTTGGCATTCAATCTCGATCATGGTTACCTGATGCAACGAGAAGCTTAGCTTCAGTACACGAGCAGATTGGGAGGCTACTTACATAGTCTGGTGCTAACACCAAATATTTGGTGCTCCTATATGTTTGAGATGAAAATGATTACTTAGTTTTGACGATATGATTCCCTATATATTTTTAAATTTATTTATTACAATTTTAATGAAACCAATTCTTTATCTTTTTTCTCATGTAAGATCTTAGGTTTATGCTTCAAAGCAAACATGCTGTCCTCTATGTTTATGTGGACCAATTACGGTTATATTTTTGTAAAACCTCAATTATAATTTAAGATTCTTCGTGTTTAAACTTGGTTTGATGCTAAATCATAGAATTGCATCAATAGTTATGATTCTGAAAAGTGAGACGGCTGATATCTTACTGTAAAAGTAAAGGTTTAAAGAATATCTAAAATTGTCCAGGAAATGGAAGAAAGAGTTCGCAAAGAAACAAGACGAAATCTTGAGTAATTTAGAGTGTTATTTCTGAAGCTGAGAACTGATTTGTCTACAGGGACATGTATTTATAATTTGAAGACTTAATGTTTGGGTGTGCTTATTAAGTAGCTTATAAGATGACTTTTGGAAAAAGTATGAATCGGCCTGCTTTTCAAAAAGTCATCTTATAAGTTACTTATAAGCACATTCAAACATGCACTAACAAGACTTTGCAGTTAACCGTGGGCTTTTTTCTGCATCAAATTAGTACAAAGATGGCAAGAACATAAAAACCCAATTATATATATCGATCAACACACTTTTTGTAGTTGAGCTCATCCTATGCCTGAAAATAAGTGTCATATCCTTTCTATCGAGCTCATCCTAAGATTTACCAATAAGTCCGTGTGTACAGACTAATGGTTCACAGAACCATTATAGAACACTCACATGGGGAGTGCGTTGGGTGGGTATTTTTTCCAATTTTTTACTCACCCCTGGGCCCCATGTGAGTATTCGGTAGGAGCACCCCTACCCAGTACAACAAGAAGGATTGAAGATTTATCGGATTTTCTAGCCAAAGGAGAACCTCAAGAGTAGAGGTGTAGAGCAAGATGTTTCAGTGATATCAACCCCAACCAAATAGAAAAGGAAGGATTTTATTGTTTGGCATACAGTATAAGATGATTTTACAGCCATTAAATTTAGGATCTCGAACCCTAAATTTCTCACCTTGTCTAGGTTCGATTCACTTTACAATGAGATTATGAACATTATTTAATATTTAGAAACATACATGGAAATATTTCGATACCAAATTTCTGCTGGTAATCCTCTAATCTGTATCAGGATATTTCATTTCTTTCTCACGTTTCCCTCGAGATTTTGGCTTGAGACGCTTCTTCAATTGTCCAGAAATTATAGAGGTCGAGCAATTCGCCATGGCAGCAGCATCCGAGGACTCAGCAATAGTCGTAGGCGTGTTCTCAACATCACTATCCATACACGATCTTTTCTTGATCAACTCGACCTCTCCATTGTCATTCACCACCACCATGTTGCACGGGACTTTCTCTGCATAGTATTCTATGTTTTTCCTGTCGTGGTACCTGATACGTGCCCAAGTTAATACCGTACATTACTCTATGTACATTATTCGATCGAGATTTTTTTTAACGTACTTATCGAAAACCACTAGTGTAGCATTCAGACTGCTAATCTGCTCTACAACCAATAGTCTTAATGGATGCCCCATTTCAGTTCTGATCTCTGGCACCACCTGAAATTAGTTATGCTCAAAAAATATCATTAAATCGAATAGTAATTGATAAATAATACTTGTGCTTATACGTAGATAGTTGTTATACAATTACCCCATATTTTTGGCAAAGGTCAACGAGTCGTAGAACCTTCTGATACTTGGGATCATTCTTCCACTCAATTCTCTCTTTCACGATAGACAAATCCTCAAGATCCATGCTCCAAATATCTGACCAAGTCTTTGCTGAGACTATATATACAAGTTTGAACATTGACAAAAAATATATTATGCTGAGATGAGGTAGATGAAAAATAATACTTGTGCATATATACACTAAAGACGTGTTTGATACATTGTATTAAACTTACGTGGAATGTTTAGCCATGGCGAGACACCAAAGATAGTAATAGTGCCACAATCGTGGAAAGTGAAATTCTTGAGGACCCATTCAAGTAATTCAATTGAGACATCCTTCAAGCCATTCATGACTATAAGAACACGATTAGGATTCTCCATTGATCGTGGTGACGGATCAAATATAACATTTTGTGCTAATGTTGTCTTGCCCGTTATTGGAAAGCAACTTGGCATTGTTTCACCTTTATATATATTCCTTTTCACAACCCAAAAAAAAGAAAAAAAAATGATGGAAGGAATTCTATATAAGGGAGAAACTAAAGAGCCGAAGGAGTTTAATGAAAGGATTTGAACTTCTTTTATAGCATGAATCAATTTGCATATAAAACCAAGAATAAAGGCAAATGAAAAGGTATTTTGGTAGATAAGAATAAAAAAATATATAGTTAGATATAACCAAGGCAGAAAACTTGGAATGTATCTTTAAAAACTAAGAAATTGAGCAAAGTATACGTCCATGCCAAGAGAAATGCTTGGTTTTGGGTGATCAATTGATGTTCTATGTGAATAAAATTATTTTCCCAAGAAAATTTTGTTCCATGACAAACCCAGGAATATAATTTCAGAACTTGTAATTGTCACTGAGGAATATACTATTGAAATTAATTATTTTCGAGTTGCTTATTAGTCTAACAGTTAATGTTAAAGAATAAATTCCACATCGATTACATAAAAAAATATGATCGTCTTGAGTTATGTTGGGCTTTCCCTCCACTTGAGGGACTTGCCCTTTCTTGGCCCATTTGGGCCCAACCCACTTAAAAGCCCCAAGTCCATTCCAATATAGAGGCAAAAAACGGGGCTTCATTTTAAGTGACACAAAAAAAAAAAATAATAATAATAAATAGATAAATAAAAAATTACAACAAAGACAGAGACGGACGAGAGAGAAAGAGACTTCGGTTCTTCAGCTTCTTCTCACCAATGATGGATGCTCGTTTGTAGTCCGATTAAGCTAATATTTCAATATGTTATTCCTGGCACAAAGGGCTACGTTTTGACTGGAGCCGATCATCCAGATTCCTCTCCATTTTTCTGGGTTGTACACACTAGTTTAGTGAGATTTTCCCCTTATTATTGTGTGTATTTATTTTGGATGTTGTTGTTGTTGGTATCCAAGAAGCATTGGTAGCCTCTAGATTGTGATTTGGAAAAGGTTAACTGTGTATCCCATTATTTTGATAGTGGACGACTTTTACTGTACTAGGTCCCGGGGTTTTTCCTTCACACTGAAGGGTGTCCCTAGTGAACAAATAATTTGTGTTCTATCTTTAAATTCCTATAAGTGTGTGTGAGTTGGAGTTGGATATTATTGCCATATTTTAATTCTGCTTATTGGAGGGGTTGAAACTGTTTCCACTGCTTAGCTGTGTTATTGGTTTGACCCCAACAAAGTGGTATCAGAGCTTTGGTTGAGTATCTGTGATTATTGTGAGAATTAAAATGGAGGATTTGGCTAGTGGCGTGGTTAAACTCACATCTTCCAATCATTCTATTTGGAAGACTAGAATGGAGGATATTTTGTATTGCAAAGATTTGTTTGACCCCATTGAATTGAATGGCAAGTAACTCGATTCTAAAATAGATGAGCATTGGAAGAAATTGAATAGAAAGGCTGTTGGACAAATTAGGCAGTGGGTTGATCCGAGTGTCTTCCATCATATAGCCAAAGAAGTAGATGCATATAGTCTTTGGTAGAAATTAGAAGGTTTTTATGAAAGAAAGACGGCACAGAACAAAGCCTTTGTGATCAGAAGGCTTGTAAATTTAAAGTACAGGGATGGTAATAGTGTTGCAGAGCACTTGAGTAGTTTTCAAGAATTGTTGAATGAGTTGTCTACCATGAAGCTTACACTAGATGGTGAGGTGCAAGCTTTACTTTTGTTGAGTTCATTACCAGATAGTTGGGAAACTTTAGTTGTCTCTCTGAGTAATTCAACTCCAAATGTTGTGATCACTATTAGCATTGTGAAAGACAGTATGTTAATGAAGAAGCCAGAAGAAAGGAACAGGATGGTTCTTTTAACTCTGAAGCACTTGTTACAGAAAGAAGAGGGAAAAACCAAAGTAAAAAACCTCATGGTAATGATAGTCGTGACAAGTCTAGAGGAAAATCAAAATCAAGAAAATGGATAAAATGTTATCATTGTGGCAAGATAGGGCACCTTAAAAAGGGGTGCAGAAAATGGAAAAGAGAACAGTTAAAATAGAAAGGTGAAGAACAGAAAGAACAAAAGGAGACCGCAGCAGTTGCATCTGATACAGAGGTATTTATTGTTTATGATGAAGTTTTTGCTACCCTTTCATGTCAGAATTCTATGTGGATAGTCGATACAGGAGCTTCTGTTCATATTACTTCACGTAGGGATTTCTTTTTATCCTATACCTGTGGTGATTTTGGTTGGATCGGGATAAGAAATGAAGTTAAAGCAAGAATTGTTGGTATGGGGGATGTACAATTGGAAACTAGTATTGGTAGCAAGTTATTTATCAAGAGTGTTAAACATGTTCCTGATATGTGCTGCAACTTGATTTTTGTTGGGAAGTTTGATGAAGAAGGCTATCATAATCACCTTGGAGATGGTTGTTGAAAACTTACAAAGGGTTCTCTTGTTTTAGCCAAAGGGAAGAAGACTAATGGTCTCTACAAAATAGAAGCAAAACTAATTCGCATGTAGGGATTTCTTTTCATCCTATACCAGTGGTGATTTTGGTTGGATTAGGATGGCAAATGAAGCTAAAGTAAGAATTATTGATATGGGGGATGTACAATTGGAAACTAGCATTGGTAGCAAGTTATTTATCAGGGGTGTCAAACATGTTCATGATATGCGCTGAAACTTGATTTCTGTTGGAAAGCTTGATGAAGAAGGCTATCATAATCACCTTGGAGATGGTTGTTGGAAACTTACAAAGGGTTCTCTTGTTTTAGCCAAAGGAAAGAAGACTAATTGTCTCTACAAAATAGAAGCAAAACTAATTCATGGAGATGTAAATATTGCTGAAAATGATTCCTCTACTGAGCTATGGCACAAATGGCTTGGTCACATGAGTGAAAAGGGTCATTAAATTCTTGCTAGAAAGAAGCTACTACACAACGTGAAAGGTACGTCACTAATCCCTTGTACTCATTGCTTAGTTGATAAGCAAAGTAGAGTTGCATTTTGTAGATTCCCTGCATCTAGAAA